CGCCGATTGCTTACCATGAGGTGATTCGTCTGCTCGTTTACCGGCTTATGCCTTAAAAAAAGGTAAATTACCTACGTGTTACGTGTTACTTAATAGAGGTTGTTGCATTTTGGAGGAAATTATTATTCGAGAATAGAAACAAAATATTGGATATACAGGACAATATTAGGATTAAGAGCATGCAACCATAAATGACAAGCGAGAAGATTCAAATGTGTCTGAAGCGACTGACCCTGCACTGCACATGAAACTATCCCAATCTGTGAAATTTCTTCAACAAGTTTTCGACTTTAAAACACGACGATAAAGCTGTTAATGTCTTAAAGGAATTTGCCACGTTTGGGTAAGTTGACGTACTAGTGCCTGTACAAGGTGGATGGATGTCAATATTTTATCGTGTACGCTCAGAGATTCAGGTCTCTACCTGGCGCGCCGTGACACCGACCCGACTCCGAAAAAAACGAGATGCCGTTCCGAATCATTGAACGATTGACGGCTGGTGCACTGGTGCTCAAAGTTTTACTTGCTGTATGCTGAATGGCGTCCATCAGTAGTACATACATACTTATGTACATTAAGCAATTAATAATTATACTTCAGAGAGCGTATCCTTAGTTAAGATTAATGAAGGGTTAATATCTAATAGACCCTTTTTAGTTTTATGACTAATTTGTTGCAAAGTGTGCACAAATACGAGCATAGTGCCTTTAATTTTCCACATAGCATTAAGTGCAAACTAAAACCAAAACCAAAGAACAATGCCATAATTTATAGGTTGTTAACTTTTTATTCACCATCTACAATTAGGTGAAACATCTATCTGGGGTTATTCACAGATTTTCAACATTACTCTTTCATTCATAACCCCTTTACAAGTTTGAGGGCCGCAGCCCATCCTCTGACGCGCGACAGCCCGTGTTGTTGTGACAGCTCGCCGGGACGCCTCCGACGTACCACGTCTTACATACAACATACACCCTTTGTCCTTCGTGCACAACTGGACACCACTGGACATCGCACGTGAGAACGTCAGAGAATAGGATGCACTTTAGGGAATTAAGATATTTGCTAAACGTAGGTGGTGAGGAACCAATTGTGGTGGTTGAATGGATAGCGCACCTCTTTTGGTTGTTAATGGTTATAAGTTCCATGTCATGTAATGATACCATGTTTATATTTAAGATCTTAACTAAAAATCGTGGTTTACCCACGTGAATATACTGAGAAAAGCTCTACTAGTTTCGAACCACAGAGGGGTCCTTTCTCATGAGCAGCGTGCGCGGTCGCGGCGATGTTGCGCAGCCTACGCACTCGAAAGTAGGCTGCGCGTGCGTGTGTCTCACGATAGTTATTATTTAAGATCTTGTGTAAAGCAGCGTGCTTGACGACGAAAAGATTTTTATATCTAGCGCATTTCTGAACTCTCTGAATCTGAAATAGGTTAACTAATAAGTAGATTTAAATCATCTTTGATATCTCCAATTTACACTTAATTGTTGATATCTGAATTGCGCCTATTTGTGTTAAGTACAGCTACTGCGGTCTTAGAGATCGCAGTTTTCGGTTCGGAGTTGCCAACAACTTTAAAAGTGTTTCGCCAAATATGTCATCTCATATAAAAAGGTTTGTTAAAGGTTTCATATTGATTTTACCACGAATGTCAGCTTTTAGAAACATGTTGAAAAATGTTAAATACTCGTTTCTTGCGTAACCATGACACGATTAATCAGAAATCATTGCAGCTATCGCGACGAATATAACTGTGTCGTTGTAAGCCGTTTATCTGCGATACCGACTGCCACCGCTATCATAATGTATTAGCAATTAATCAATTTTACGTTCGTTTTATTTTAGAATTCCTTGGTAACTGTTTAATTACTCTGCTGTGCTCGTTGGTGTTGTTTCGCACGTATGCGTTCGCTTTTTTATTCCTATTTCCAGCGTTGTTGTTGGAAATTGCTTTTCTTTTGCATTTATATCTGTATCTTTACTAAATTAAGCAACAGCTCTTCTGTTACAGAGGGGGACATAGTTTCGTCCTAAAACAGCGACCTGTTCGGACAGCGGTGGTTTACTACCTACGATCAAGCATGAGGAGGGTTTTGGCTTGCTGAAGTAATATTGGATATCCCTTGGCTGTTGATGGCGATACGTAGGACCAAATTACATGTGCTGTGCTAGGGATCTGAAACTCTTGAAATTCTGTATTGTTTATTGTTCTGGGAATCCAGCAATTACGCTTCGATAACTTTACCAAAACTCTAAGTAAATGTACGGAATCACAGCTCACTCTAACGTGTATTTTCAATTACCACTATCAAGTCCGCGTATCATAGTAGCATTGATGATATTTTCATTTGATTTGAACAATAGATATGGTTGTTATGTTTGTGAACTAATCTTGCCGCCGGCGTCTACGTAGCAAATAGCTACCTAATTTCAATAGCTATATCTGTAGTTTTATATATACATCATATATCATTTACCTCTTATGATTCAGGCAATTATAATTTCCTAATTCTAAGGATACATGAGTCGTATATACCTAATGGTTTGTATTACTACAATGCAAAGATTCTATTAATAACTCAGTATTAATTTCTAGGTAAATTGTTAGAAAATATTGTTTAGGAAATAATAGGTATATGAAAAGCTGAAGAAGTGTAATTATACGTACCTACTGCATTCCCCAGTTTGTCGTTTGTCTAATGAAGACATAATAACATTGTCTAGCCAGGACCACTGTTTTTTTTAAAAAGTGAATGAATTGAGCGTATGAACGTCTCGTAAACTCGACCATTAAGCAGAACCCTAAGCTTCTATGAACTAAAAAAAAAATCATCACGAATTTTATTTCTCGCAATCAATATTCTTGTAAATCACCTAAAGGAATCTATCACGGTAGAGCTCTGATAGCACTTACTAAACCTATACAGTTAAGTATAATTTTTTCCATAGACCTATTAACACCTATATAAATATCAAAATTTACTCATTGTTCAGGCTTAATGAGTTGCTTCACCAAAAAATCTGCACAACTTAAAAACTACAAGAATAACTAAAAAAATATATAAATATAAAAAAGTATTTAAGTAGGAAACTTGTCAAGTGTCACCTGGCACAAAAGATGTGTATCTGTGACGGACATGTTGTGGCCAAGGGCTTACAATCCTTAGAGGTCCACAAAAAGAGTATCAATGGCAAATAATCCTTGGAGCTTATACTAACAATATTAGCCGTAACAATGGCTAATCTTTGAATCGGTAGCCGTAATACGTTTAAACATCCTTTTAACTTTTTTTAAACGAGTTTGACAGGTCCTTTTGATAAGTAAGGTGGAGGTACTGACCGAAGGATGTTAAACATTGTTATAATTTCTTCTTCGTTTGAGGATTTTAAAGTTTCTCTTCAGAAATTAAGTTAGTACCTAATTCAAATTAAAATCATAGTTTCGATAAACTTTTTAATGATACATAAAAATGTCATATAATTGGGAAGGATGAGAGGGAAATTACTTAAAACTATTGTATCTAAAAATTCTTTAGCGAGAAAAATATTGCTATTATTTTTCGTAAAGGCGTATTGTGTTAGTTGCCTTTTTGTATATTGCTAGTGCGTTGTGCAAGGCGTTCGCATATTTGCAGACAGCAACAGTGTTTAATTATTTAAATAGGCATTAAGTTTGTTGTACCTTACCACGTAGGGCTAATAACATAACGGGGTAACATTTAGTAACTATGTCTGTCCCTTTATCAACTAAAGAGGGACTAACTACTGAAATCAAGTTTAAATGGCTTAAACGATACTAAAAAATATCACGTGCCATATTTTGCATCGTATTGTAGGTCTAAACAAGGGATCCATCCATATCACTTCACAGAAAATTCTATCAATCAAGGTCTTCAAACATATTTATCAACAATACCATAAGTTAATAATATAATAATAATAATATAAGTTAAAAAAAGGGTTAAGGAAGAAAGTAAAACACAAATACAGAAATATTCCACAGACATTTTATTTAAATTAAATCAATTTACGTAAAAAATGAGGTATTAAAAATAGAATACAATATTTACATGGGAACACTGGATAGACTGCAGTGAACTAGCTCGATTTGCATTGTACCTAAGTGTTATTTTCGTGGTACATTTTAACGTAATTGTCGAAAAGATTAGTAGCTCGTTTCATTGGTCCCTTTTGACTGGAAAAAGTGAATAGTAGAGGTATATTAGGTACGTATTGATAGATTTATAGAACACCTATGCAGTAAGTCGTATCTTACCGGTAGTGCAATATAAGTACTGTGCATATTAGACTCTTTTTTAATGATGATAAGGATTATATTTCTCTGCAACTTTGCACTTCTTTGTTTGTACTTACTTTATTATAGAATCAGAGAGGTAATTTAAAAAATGTACCTATACAAGATTGAAATTATTTTCAATTGGACAATAAATCACTTATCTAGTGATTTCGTTATTGTATAACAATCGTGAGACATAATAAAGGTTGAGAAAACCTCTACTAGTTTCGAGTCACAGAGGGACTCTTCTTCATGAGCAGAGCGCGCGACGTGCGTCGCCGCGTCGTAATTTAGGTACGTTAATCATTAAATTAGTCCATTTTCCTTATGACTTGTTAGTTTTTCAAGTCACGATTTATCCCCAAGTTTTAGTAGAGCTTACAATATTCTTCAAACGCTTCTTGATTAAACAAATGCATTACCTGACTAACACAACACAATACTCGGAAATGTATTTTGAAAACAGTTGTCACGTGTTACACAAAAGATTCCGTAATCGAATGACTGCAGCATTATATTGGTAATTCAATGGAGATAAACAGTAACCATTCGGTCATTTCATTGTACCTAATATTATTTGTAGTTTGTTAAATTGAAGTCACTATTATATATACACCACCTTATTTGTTTGAACGCGCTATCTCCCGAACCACTGGTCCGATTTGAATAATTCGTTTTGTATTGGATAGTGAATTTATTGAGGAAGGTTATAGGTAATAAAACATCACGCTATGACCAATAGGAGCTGAGCAGAGCGTGTGAAACCGCGCCGAAGTTTAAGTCATAAATGTCACATTGTCAGTTCTTGTCACTTCCATTCTAGGGCGATAGAGAAGATTGTTCTCATTTTGGAAAGCAAAATATACATAGTAGTACTACGCAGCCTATCCTCGGTGTTCTGTAGTTGGTAGCGATGGCACTTTATTTTCTTCTTCCAAACTTCTGTTAATAGTCTTTAACAAAAATATGCTTAAAATATGACGTAACATTCTTATTTTGGTAACAAAAAAAGTCAGGGTAGTAATGAAACCCACATAAATTCGGATTTATACGTGGTTTGCTACAAGACGAGAGATGCCGTCTTCTGTTACTATAAGGTACACGTTGTTACTCTTTCTATCGATCGCCCGATCATTATATGAATCTAACCGTTTAAAGTATTTACAACCACCAGATCCATTGTTCACATAAAGTCATACTTCGCAACTTTCTTCTTTCCAAGTTCAAGTAAAAAATTCAGTATAAAATAAAGTACCATCGCCATTATTAGTCTAGGGTTGTAACCTAATTAGTTTTCTGCACTTTTGCTCTGAACCCTAGCTTGTCGTCCGCTGTGTAGTGAACGGTGCGTGTTTTCCCATCAGCGTCGATGAAGCTGTAGTACCCTGTCACGATGCCACCATCTCGACTCTCCTGGACTGTCTTCGAGTCACCTGTCTGCTTGTCCTGGAATTTGAGAAGGATGCTATTAGATAGAATAGTTGATATGGTAGAAAAGTGGATTTAGTAGGTGAATAGAAGTGGCGATCGTCCGTAGTTATTTATTTAATTTTGAGTTATATTCTACAAAACTGTTACTATCATTAACAAGTTAGGAAATTCCATAATAATGATTTGTGTTAGTTGCAGTCAGCACTGATTTCTAGCTACGAAGAAATAGCAATTGCAGTTGCATTGCTTTGTCATCGGTTTTCCAAATCACACTTAGGGTGATTCCACATTCTTGGTAAGGATACCAAGAAACATAAAATTCACTAGATAGGAATCTAGTGAATTTTATGTTTCTTACTAACTATTTATAGGACAATCTAAGGTGCATAAATAGAAGTGCTCAAGTTAAAGAGTCGACCAACATCCTTGAAAGTAACTCCTTGAACAGATTAGAATAATTTACTCGTCATTTTCAACAGTTAAACAAGTGCTATTTACAACTGACATTTTGCCTCAACTTCAAATCCTGGCCTTTGTTCTAACACATTTAAAGTTGTTTTGATCAAAACTAGATAAGTGCTAGGTATAAAGTTCAAAATCGTGCACTATTAAGTGTTTATTGTTTGGATGTATAAGCAGACAAATACCACAATTTAATCTAGACAATTGTCTGTCTATCAGTAACAAATAATACAGTATTAGATTTAGATATATATAACATAACATAACATCATGCCTTTATCCTCGAAGGAGTAGGCAGAGATGCACATTATACCACTGTACAATGTAACACCCACTGATCACTATTTATGTTATGAGTCCCATGTAATAAGGGGTGAGCCTATTGCCATATACCGGGCACAGTTCCAGACTCCGTGCTACTACTGAGAATTAAAAAAAAACCAGTAATACTTTGCCCGACCCGGGATACGAACCCGAGACCCCTTGCCCGGCAGTGGCAATTGCAACCACTTGACCAACGAGGCAGAATATATATTGTCCTTTATTATATCTATTCTTCGATCAACAATAACAACTAGATAAAGGGTTACGTACAAAATCAAGCTCCAGTTCTGTCCGTGTGAATAATAATAGTAAAAAAATAACAAACAGAAAAATATTTTAAAATAGTTTTAAGTTCAACCTAATAACAACCATGGCACCTAATAATATAGTCATAAATCGTCAAAATATTATCTAATACTTACGACCATTCGTCACATAAGACAAGAAAAGAATTTTCTTACTCCTGTCATGTAGAAATTAAAAGACATAAGTTATACAATATTTAGTTTGAATTCAACCTTAAACTCGAACAAATAAAGATAATTTTTCCATTATTGTCTTGCGATCTATATCGTTTTGTTTTGTTACGTTTTGCTTCTTCAAATTTCGAATTTCGCTACAGGAGGTATGTATGGAGTCGCGTTGGACACTAAAATAATTTTATAATATGAAAATTAAGATTTCGGGATCTTAGTATACATCACTAATTTTTATTAGCGGTACGTTTTTGTGTATGATATGTTTATTTAGTTTATCATTGAAAGTCTAAGTCTAAGTCAAAATCATTTATTTCAGTTAGGTAGACCAGGAAGGCACTTTTGAACGTCAACAATATAAATTTAAAAGTGAAGCTATTTGCTCATTCCAAGGTGTAGATTCCTATGGAGAAGAACGAGTAAGAAACAATACAATTTTATTTTTCAATACAAATCGACTCGATGCATCCACTGTTCTGTTTAAACAAATGTTGGCGAGGCTTGGCCTAGGAGTCGCCAACACACGCACAAACATTGGTGGCGTTGGTTTATAATTGATAATTTTGTCTAATTTGATATTATTTACTAGTTTAAAAACTTAAAATATAACTTATACTTTATGTACTTATTAAAAGTAAGACACTCCGGCCGTTATACTGCTTTTTCGGTTGTTATTTTTGCAACTTGCAATTATGCACTGCGGCATCGTGAGACGTGAGTACGTTGGCCGTGTTTGGAGCATACTAAACAAAATAAGAGCTCACTTCTCAAGTGAGCTCTTATTTGTCGAGACGATTTTCTTGCGCTGACCCGATATCTAGTTGTTATTGTTGATCGAAGTATCTATTGCGTTTAATTTTATAAATAGTTTTACTATGACCAAATTAACCGCTGGTAGGAGTCAAATGTTATTCATAGCATGATCATAACACTCGTTAAGATCTTTATTGCATTTAAAACAATTTAAACTTTATAAACTAAAGGTTGGGTATACCTAACCATTTTTTTAAATACCCCAGCTACTTACATATCCTATTTACACTAGTTGGTATGTACAGGAAACCAATGTTGCAATGTTAAGAATTCGCACACATAACCTTGTTACAGTAATTATTCAAATTAATTTCCTACTTAGATTGCAATTACGGAATATTTAAATATTCGTAGCCACGCCTTCTACGTCAATCATTCGTGATTTGGCTATTAGCCTTTTAAGCGTTGAAACAAAGGCTCTTATACTTTATTAATGACAGCTTAGACTACAATTAAATTGAACTGAGGTGAAGTCTAAAATTAATTTGTAACCTAGGTGTTAATGTGAGAAGGTTTATAGTCATAAGTCAAAGAGAACACTCTTTCTTTGATAGTAATTTGCAAAATACATAATTATATAGAATTTTGTAGCCAGAAGATTTACTTCTCCTTGTTTTAATAGGAATGTAGATGCTACGGTTTGGCGTAGCACTACGCTACAGTGCTACGCTAAAGCGTAGCATTTGTTAGCGTAGTGGTAAGGTATAGGTACTATTTTCTTTTTAATTTCATGTTAGTACCTATATGAAATATTTATATTCTCATCTAGTCCCTTAACTCGTCGAGTACCGTCATTATAGACACAATTATAGAACAATAGGTTGCGGTCACCGGTGACCGCTTGGTGTTTGACAGTTTAATTAATGTTTTTCTTATATATTCTATTTTTATACTTCCAACTAAAAAGGTTTAAAGTTAATTTTCCTACAAACATTCGATTCAAGTACACGTAACATGAGTATAACAAATAATTAAAAATCCCATTACAAATTGTTTTAATTACACTGGGTTCAAATCGCAATGAAATTTCCTTTCTGAAGGCTTTGCAATTTTATAACATACACTACGAATAACAAACTCTATTTTGTACCACATAAGAATTAATTTAGAACCTTAGACATTTTCAGAGTCCCATTAAACGAAATCAAACTTTAAAGTGACGTGTTAAGATCTAGTTTCGAGTACAAGTTTATACATATAGGAGGTATGCCGTACAAGTACAAGGTCTTGAGTAAAAAGTAAAATGCGTGTACGCATTGACGTGTGTATACTCGCTGAAGGTCAAGTGCGCAAGATTCGTTATGTTAATACACAGGTAGGTACTTGGTATATACTTAGATAGTAGTTCGTATATAGTTCCTTATTATTGACTAGCTTGCCACCTGTGGCTTCTCCTATGTTTAATCTACTTATATAAAAAAAATTCGCCGAAATGTAAGTATGTACGCGCGTAACTTCAGAACGACAGTACCGAATTAAATAATTCTTTCTTTTATGTGTTCGTAATTATCAGTTTGGTATGAAAAAAAAAAATGCAACGGGATGCGCGTACGAAGTCACGGGCAGCAGTTAGCTTACGATATTTACCTAATTGCAGAAAGGATATTTGTACTGACTGACTTTTTGAATTCCCGATTATGTCGGTACTACTGCAGCTCGTGACGAGCAAGGGCCTAATTCATAAATATAATATTTTTGAAAGCACGCACGCAGCTCCCCGGCTGTGCATTCGGACAGTATGCGCTAGATGTGGAAGCACCCTTAGGAAGTTTAGGAGTAAATATTTCTGGATTAATATTAGAGTGGAATTGTGGCCAGTATATGGCAATAGGTTCACCCCTATTACATAGACTCATAACTCTTACCATCAGGTGATCCGTCTACTCTTTTGCCTCCTAATCCATAAAAAATAGCATTAAGTTCTGTAATGTGCACCTCTGCCTACCCCTTCGGGGCTAAAAAGGCATGATGTTATATTATATTATGTTTTGTAATACTACCAATTGTGACAGAATGTTTAAAATATTGGTCCCGTAGTTTTAGAATTTATCTAACACGAACAAACAACTGAATCTTTATTTCTATTAATAGTATAGATATTAGATATGTCCTCGAAGTTTACTAGACTATAATTGACAATAATTAGTAGATCACTTTATCGACAATGTAAGTTGAAACTTAAGTAGTTTTTTATAGGATACAATTTGCAACGGTTCGGTTTTTACAACATCCGTGTTCTTTCAAGGAATTTTTAATACTTATAATTAGTTTCGTGAACTTTATTTTAATAGTTTTACATGTTAATGCTCTTAATTTCGCTTTGCATTGAAAATAAATAATTATTCAATTATGATGCATTTTCATACTTTATTTAATGAATAACTACTTTAATTTTCCTTTTTATTTTTTTTTGGTTACTCCACAGTAAGATTGTCTTCTTATGAGAGGTTGAAATGACGGATCATACAAAATAATTTTGTTTCTTGCGGGAATTGAACTAACACCGATTAGGATTGAGATAGATTTTGACATTGCTTCTATACAGGGCCGTCTTAGACTACGCTGGGGCTCTTCGGTACATCATAATTTGGGGCCCTTTTAAAATGTTTCTTTTTTTAACATTGCCCCACACTAGGATTTTCTCCTGTATCGTGGCTGCGTTTACAAACATACAAGTTTACAATTTCACATAGGTACACCCAGATCTACAATTTGGGGATCACACAAAGATTTGTTCCATTCGGGAATCGAAATGGTGTGTGTCTGTCGTAGCAATTGTCGGTCCTTTGGGGCCCCCTGAGCACGGGGCCCGAGTACCCTTATGGTAAAAACTGCGTGTATAGAATTTTGTGCCGAAATCTTAATCCGGTCGAGAATTTTTGAAGATCGGTTATCAAAATCAGCCGCCAGTCAGTCACAATACAAATCATTTTGGTCATT